GCTAAATCTGTAAGGTATTGTGAAATACTCCAGCCCATTTACAACCCCCTAGAAGTAGGTCTATATGTAATTTGGTCCTATTTATTTCTGATAAAGGGGGATACATATTTCATTGGATGTACTGTACGTCACGGAAGTCTTATGTTCCAATAGTTAGGGAATCCAAACAAATGAAAAGTAGAATTCAAGGTGAGCTTGGTCAAATTTTATCCAAAACTTGCTTTAAAGAACAAAATTTAATTGTTCTTATAACTGGTTCATAGTTACAAACACATGTAGCTACAAATTGGTCTTATTCATGCTTCCAAGTGAAACCAGACATGGTCGAGCAGGCCTTTCACATAGATGGAACTGGTAAAAAAAAAAAAAGGAGCCTGGAGCTCCTCCCAAGCCCACGTGACCCCTGAGGAACAGATCCTCAAATGACCTTAAGTGTAAAAATAAATTGATTTATTTGGGCCAACTGTATGATCTTAAACAACCAAAAGGAAAGTATAACCAAAGATTAAAGTATGAGTCTGTTTCTAATAAGACAATGCTACTCAGATGTAAGACTTCAAATCTTGGCCTGCAGTTCTGTAGTGCCCACCTGCAGCTGAGGGAGACAGCCAGCTATTGTTCTAGCCTAAAAGCTAAATGATGGCTAAATTTGTTTTCTCTCTCTATCTAACCAAGGCAATAAAGTGCCCACCTGTAGCTCAGGGAGACAACCAGCTATTGTTCTAAAATGATGGGTAAATTTGTTTCCTCCCCTTATCTAGAAGCCTTTGAGAGGGAACTGACACTGATTCTAACCACTCCAACAGCTATCAAAATGTCTGAAAGCAAATTCTAAATCCATCACTCTAGAGTTCAGCCTTGGAAGACAAAAGAAAAATGAGGAAGATCCCAATAGAGGGATGCTTTGGGAAGCCCTTGTCAAGAAATTCCACTGGCCTCTCATATAAACATTTGAAAATTGCCCTGTTCTGACTTTTTTCTAGTTCCCTGTCTAGAACTTGTAACGCTAAGTACTCTTGCCTTTACTTCTCCTTCACATCTTCTATTCACAATTCAGGGACTTTCTTTTCATCTTAGAGATAAGAGTTATGCAAATTAAGAGTTTTTTAGATAGACCCACTGCAGGGGTACTCCCGTTGCCTCACCCTGCATCCCTGTTGAGCATGGAAGAAGACAGAGCAGTCTGTGTCCATATTCCCTATTGACAATTTGGGTAACCCCTTCAGAGGATGGTGTGATAAGAATAGGAGGTAGGAACTGGCTAGGCAGTTAGGGTAAAAAGACCCCAAAGAAAAGTAGCCAGTTTCTTGGCTAAAAGTCAAAATGTCCTTGGGACTGTTGGCAACATACTCTGTTCCAAAGGCCAAAAATGTCAAAAGTATTTGGGAGTTTGCATCTAATTTTTAAAAGATTTTAGGGTCACCTTTTCAGAGGGGGGAATGTTCAAGTACCCAAAACCCCATAAAAATAAATAAATGAAAGAAGAAGAAGAAAAAAAGAAAAAAGTGATGGAGAGATATGGGAGGTATTGGGAGGGAGGGAGGGAGCATGGATTTGATCAAAATACCTTATATGTATGTATGAAATTCTCAATAAAGTTTTTGTAAAAGTTAAAGAAAAAAATAGAAAAAGATATATGTATTTTATAATTTCTTTAAAATACTGTATATTTATAGTAACAAAACAATGATGAAACAATGTGTACGGAACACTAATGGTTGTCTACTTCACCTTTAAATTAACCAGTCAAGAAATTAAATCCTTGAGAGGTGTAATAAATTATGGAAGATTATACTAACTGAAATTATATAATCATCAGTTTCTGAGTCTACTAGTATTTATTTTGATGAATGGATGTCTTCTGGAATAAAAATCATCATATTTTCTTCTCAAAAATTATTGTGTTTTGCTCCAAGAACATTGGGTATTAAGAAAATATTGAACAGATAACTCAATGAGGTTAGAAACTGAATAAAAGCTAACTCAAATTTTATATAAATTTATTATAGCAATGATTTAGTTTGTAGAATACTGGTCTATTAGAAAACTGAAGTTATTTTATCACAAAATGTAATTAAATTTGGGTAGCCATGTAATGAATTTCAGTTAAGCATATTAAATGTTCAATGCTATTTCTTTTAATAAAAGTCCAATACAAATTACATAGCTTATTCATTGTTATGACAAATAATAAAACATGATATATTTTCTAAGTTGAAATTTAAGCCATCTGGTTTAAACTAAACCTACTAAGAAAGTAATGAGTTTGTGTGCTGCCATAATGGATATATTTTACCATTTATTGTCTACCTGAATTTATACATTTTGTATACATGTTTAAATATATTGCCATATAAAGTACACAATATTTATAATACAGATATAGATAGAACATGTCTCTTTGCAAATGATGAAATGTTGAAAAACAGTAGACTTTAAGTCTGCTGTCCAGTTATCCATTTCATTATTCATTAACTGACTGATAAAAAATAAAATCATGATGAATTTAGAGAAAATGAGCAAAATGTTTCCTTAGAAGAATATGTAACCAATGGCTAGTTTTGCAAGGAAAAACCACATCTAACTTTTTAAACGTATCATTTAAAGTCATATTTTTTGGACAGTGTTTTCACATTTTCCTATTTTTACCTACCTTATACATAAATTATTTCTTCTACTCACTGAAATTTGTGAGGAAGAACCTTTTTTATACACTAAAACAAAGGAAATACAGGCTTCAAACCAGAGCCACAGAATTCAAATTGCTTTTAAACAGTTGGTTCGTTTTGTATATCATGAATATTGTGTTAACCTGCATTTATAGTAGCCTATATTAACTTTTTGTATACAAGTCAAATTTGCCAATAATTTTACTCATATTGTGGTAGACAATGTATTTTAGTTTTGTTTACTGGATTGCAATTTCAATAGTACCATGATATTGTCAAAATATTTTCGCTCGTGAGGGGTTACAGAAAGCTACATTATCCCTGCCACCTCTATTTGCCTGTTTGAATAAATATCATTTTCCATAATAAGACTATTTTCAAATCATTGCCAAGAATAATAATAAATAAAAACCTGAAAGTAAAGTTTTCTTTTTCTCTTGTCTGATATCTCTGTCTTCAGAATATCAAAATGGGAAGGCCCTTTGGGTGTTTGTTAATAATGTATTATACTTAAATACATAAACCCAGAAAGTCAGCCTAATCTTTTGGGTGTTGATTTTGAGTAAAGAATTTATATCAATTGTCCCAAGGGATTATAGACAAGAGGACAGCCATGAAGATATTGAATGAAATAAAATCTATTTATCATATATGTAAGTAAAATTATTACCTAATAAGGAAGATGAATAAACTATCACTTAAATACTATAAATGCTGCAAGCACACTGCTGAATCATAGAAATGCCACTCTGATTAATCAAAAAAATCATTATTTCTAAATGTAAAGTCAAATACAGAAAACTCTACATGTTTAAACATAACCATACATGTGTATGCCTTTGTATAGAATGCTAAATGGCAACTGGAAGACAAAGACCTAGCCCTCATGATATCATAGGTGTGTGGTTGATGTAGGTGGAAGAGGAAAGCACAGGCTGCTTGGCCCTTGCATCTGCGTTCATGTGATAGGTACCATTAAGTTCTCTTATTACTAATTACGTGAATAATAATAGTGTTTTTCTATAGCATTTCTCTGTGTATGACCATCAGAAGGATATGAATGTGGGGCTTGAGAGATGGCTCAGCAGTTAAGAGCACTGGCTGTTCTTCCAAAAATCAGGGTTTGAATCCCAATGACTAACAATTGTCTATAATTCCAGTTCCAGGCACTGCATGACATGGGTGCACTTATATACATGCAGACATAACACTCATACCCATAAAATAAAAATAATAAAACAATAAAAAGAAGTTTATATATGTTAGAACACTACCACATTTTATGTGTAGATAAGTTTTCCTAAGTGGAGCAAAGTAGTTTGGAAAATAAATGAATGCGATGATTCATCAGTAAAGTTTTTTAAAGAGCCATGAATGAACAAACTGTCAAATTCATTTGCACTCGAGTCTTCTTTTCCTACAAAGAAAAACATGAGGCAGTATGTAATATGCTAAAAATGAAATTCAAAATAATGAGTTTGCCTATTAATAAGCTCACCATGAGAAAAAGAATATAAGGATAGATTTCTTTTAAATCATTTAATGTTCCAACATTCCAGAAGTATAAATATCAAAAGATAAAACTTAAAATTAAAAAGTTACTATAAAGTAAACCACCTCAAATGATAAACACTATAATTTAAAGAGGGAAGGTTGCTGAAATTCAAGGTTAGGGCAAGATGAGTTGAATAAGGAAAGGATGTTATTCCTGTCTTGTGCATTAAAAAGTACTCATTAGATGGCTCAGTGGTTAAGAGCACTGACTGCTCTTGCAGAGGACCAGCATTCTATTCCCAGCACCCACATGGCAGCTGCCAACCGTCCTTATCTCCAGTTCCAGGGGAATCGGAAGCCCTCTTCCGACCTCCGCGGCATTGCACAACACGGGTGCACTCGCATACATGCAGGCAATACACTCATACACATAAACAAAAATAGTATTTTTAAAACGTACTCATCAATCAAGACAGTATTTAAAACTACTATGCTTTAATATGTTAAACTACTTATCAAATATTGTATAATAAAACTAATTAAAAACATTCACAATCAAAATTTTATCCAAAGGCAAGAGTGTGATTAATTTCTGAATTAAACACTGCACAAATCTAAAAGTTTGAAGAAAAAAACACACATAATAACACAAGAATTGAAGGATGATGATGAGCCATGCATACTAAAATGCTTATAAAAATCCAGAAGAGGGGGAGCGGAGCCTGCTGGCTCTGTGTGAGTGTGTGCGTGCGTGTGTGTGTGTGTGTGTGTGTGTGTGTGTGTGTGTGTGTATGTAAGCCGCCTCCGAAGCCACGGACGGTTTGTTGAGCGGGTTAGTGCTGCCAGACCACGTCTGAAGACTTGCAGCAAGAATTTGATCGTTATGGTCCTATAGTTGATGTAAATGTTCCACTTGATTTCTACACTCGACGTCCAAGAGGATTTGCTTATGTTCAGTTGGAGGATGTTCCGGATGCTGAAGATGCTTTACATAATTTGGACAGAAAATGGATTTGTGGGCGACAAATCGAAACAGTTTGCACGGGGGAATCTGAAGACACCACATCAAACGAAAGCCAAGGGAGGGAGGAATGTGTACAGCTCTTCACGCCACGATGATTATGGCAGATACAGACGTTCTAGGGGCTGGAGTTACAAAAGGAGGAGATCGAGCTGGTCTTTTGATTACAGCTATAGGATATCTTATAGTCCTAGAAACAGTAGGCTGACTGGGAGACCACGGCGTAGCAGAAGCTGTTCCGACAATAGTAGACCAAACAGCAGCTGGAATACCCAGTACAGTTCTGCTAACTACACTTCAAGAAAGATCTGAAAGGCGAAAAAGAGCCAAAGAAGGGCAGTTCAAGCGACCAAAGGGTGGGTGGAAGGTGCTGCAGTATGAATACTATACGAATATTTTGACTCTGGTCTGAAAATAACAGAATTATCGAAAACTATATGGAAATAATTGAAGTCCCTTCAAGTTTGGTAGTATTTTAGGACAGATACAAGGAAACTCAACTTTGTACTTGCGGAAACTAACCCCTAAAGATGAACAGGTTTATATTGACTCAAGGGTAACAAATCCATGAGGTTATTGGGACCTAGGATGTCTGAGTATCAAGGAAGACAGCCACAGCCTCTAACAGTGCCTGTACTGGTCTGTCTCAAGCTGAATCAGGTGGGAAAAGGTATGGTCCAATATAAACTTCTTCTTGGTTGTTGTCTTAAAATTCAGTTCCATTTATGCCATTATTGGCAGGTCTTGGCTTTGTTTATTCTGGCACCAGTATTATCTGCTTAACTGCTTTGCTGGTATCTGAGTTTATTTACCTGTATACCATATGCAGTTTACATCTTTAACCACTCTTCCCAAGAAAATTCCACTTACACTTGATATCTACCTGAGAGGGTCCATCTTGTCTCACTCTTGCCTAGTCAGTGTGTTCAGCAGATGTTTACTGAACCTTACTGTGGGCAGAACATTATAGTGGATAATTGGAGAAAATAGATAATTTATTTAGTAAATGTCTCCACACACTCTAGTGACTCATCACAATATGGCCTTGTCTAGTTTGAGGTGTATTATGACAATATTTCATACCATTCACATCCTAATGTAATTACAAGACCCAGTATACTATCAAAGATAAGTAATTTTTTGATGTCTGCCATTTAAAAACTAATATTGGCATCCCAGTTCTACAAATAATGAAAAAATTCATCTGTGATAAAGTGATTTATTGTGAGTGACTGTATAATATATTTAAGTAGTGTTAATTAAATTGTTATCTCTGCCTCCTTCAAATAATAGAAGATAATCCCCAAAATAAGTAACTTTGCATTAAAGCAGACCCTGGGTACTATAATTATTTAGAGACAGACAGCTGTCATCCCAATGAATTTAGTATCTTCTGTACTTGAAAAATAATTACTTTTAATCTACATGTACATTTTATAGGGGACATATTCTATGTATAGTGAATAAATAACTTTTATAGTGTCACACACAAAAAATCCAGAAGAGGGGCTGGAGAGAAGGCCCAGGGTTGAGTGCATTGGCTGTTCTTGCAGTGACCTAGGTTTGATTCCCAGCACCCTCTTGGCAGCTAACAGCCACCATAACTCCACTTCAGGGGAATCTGACACCATCTTCTAACATCCATGGGCACTGCACCATGCAGGTGTACTTATATACATGCAGGCAACACACTCATACACACATGAAATAGAAATAATGAATAAAATACTTTTTAAAATCTAGAAGAAAATGAAAGGAGGCACCTGATGGTTCACCTATAGCTCCAGCATTCAGAAGGTGGAGATGAAGGAGCCCCTGGGACGAGCTGGCTAGCCATATCAGTGAGCACTGAGTTCAACTGAGAGTTCCTATTTCAATGAATAAGAAACAGGGTGATGTAGAGGCTCTCAATATCAACCTGTAGGCTCCACATGCATGCACACACTTGAAAGTGCACCCACGCGTGTGAATATGCATACTCATACAGGAATGCTGCACACATATATAAATACAAAGCAAGGAGGGATCAAAATGTTTCAGGTGACAAGTCATATGGATTCCCTTGGGATCCTCAGAGGTCACATTCCAAGACTGCCCCCCCATACCTAAACTATATTTACTGCTGAGCAGCCTGTATCCTATGCTTTCCCCTACACATATATACTGAATTCATTGCTTTTCTGTGGCTGCGATAAAATACCTTGACCAAAAATAACTTACGAAAGAGCTTATTTTGGCTTATGGTTCCAACGCAAGTCACACAAAATCTCAGCATAGACATGTGAAATTCGGTAAGAAACTCCAAATTTGCCTGAGGATCTATGGGTAGCCAATAGCTGCTTAGAGGGTGAGAGTCATTCTCATTTAAGGGTGACACTCTTGGTAGGTTGACCAAGGTCCAGTGGATGAACCCACATTGAAAGGCATTTGGGGACACAAACCTGATTCTGTATTCCTTTGTATATATAATGTATATATTAATATACACGGAATTGTACAGAGGTAGCATGGGGTACAGATAAGACAGGGGATGTAAATATGATCAAAATATGTCCCAAGAAATTCACAAAAGTTCAATTAAAAAAATCACCAATTTCCACAGCTGTGAACCAAGATCCTCTTTAAGGAGAAAATGCGATTTCTGCTTGCTGTACAGGGGCCTTAGGTTTGTATAGTGTCATGTTATCTCTTCCAACTCTTCCTAAGCACTTCCCCACAGACACTATCTGCTCATTTTGTCCTTCCTGTGGAGGTATTCTATGAATAATTTAAGCCCATCAAGTTTGATAAGTAAAAAAAATCCATGAGAAAGTTGAAAATGCTAATAAAACCAGCAATTATTTTAATGCCCAAAGGGGTGACACAATGCATATGCTTATGAAAAAAATTTTCTGCAGTAGGAACTGTCCTGAAAATGAGAAGTAAAGTATACAGAAGGTAAATAATTTAAACAAAAATAATTGGTAAGGAGTGAGGAGTGTGATTAAGAAGCAGTGTATTTGAGTGTAGACCTTTTGAATCATCAAGGAAGTCAGAAGCTAAAATACACATGATTTTCCAGTTCAAGGTTCAGTTCTGCAGATCAGAATGAATAGCAAACAGTAGGCAACTCTGTGGAGAAGCTTTGGGGCCATAGGAGAAGGGGGACTACCGGGCTCTTCAAACACTTCAGGACAACACAACACATTACTTTGTTTCAAGAAAAGTTCAGAATGACTATGTGCAAGTGTGACTATGGCAGGAGTGTTCCTGATTGAAAGATTTGACTCACAGATGTATTTCCATTTGGCCTAGAAACAAAGTGTGAGTAGTCAGTGGAGCTTAGCTTTTTCCGCATAATGGATGATTCAAATACAGCTGAAGATCAAGCACAGATTGCTAGACAGAGTTTATATTAACAGCTGTAAATCATTAGACTATAGTGTGAGCTAAAAATGGAAACTATAAATATAGCTTCTTTCTTCTTTTGATATAATTACAAATTCCTTTGTAGTTTTAAGAAAGAATCCTAATAAACATCTTCTTCCCTTTGTTCATTTTCCCCTACTGGTTACATTATCTGAGATAGTGCAACACAGGAGGGTACTGGCACTGATACAGGCCACTCAGCATAAGCATCTTCATGTTCCATTCACTTGGATAACACTCGGGCCTCTCACCCTCACTACCTTCTTAAACTTCAGCACCAGCAAATGCTAATATTCTCTGCATTTCTGTAATCTATGTCCATTCATCATGCCACCTTTTTCTGTTTTTGTTTTTATATTCTATTTAGTATTTTTACTTTATGTGTATGAATGTATTGCCTGCATGTATGTAAGTGCACTTGTGTCACTCAATGCCCAAGAGGGTCAGAAGAAGGAGTCAGATTCCCCTGGAACTGGAGTTATAGGCAGTTGTTAGCTGCCATGTGGGTACTGGGAATTGAACCCAGGACCTCTGCAAAAGCAGTCAGTGCTCTTAACCTTTGAGCCATCTCTGCAACCCCCAGTCATCTTAAAAACAGTCAGAGAAAAATTGTCTTCCTGCTGTATTCAGAGGAACTTTCCATTTTTTTTTTTTGCCCAATACTTTCATTCTGAATGAAAACTCCATTTCTTCAGAGGAAAGAAAAAGACAAAACGAAGCAATGAATAGGATTTAATGGGTGACTTCAGGCATTTCTCTTGCTGCCAGTCCTGAAAGCTGCCAGTGCTATCAGAGTTTCTATAAACCTTTTGGATGTTCTTATAATTAAAGAGTCTTCTCTGGGGGAAAGGAGAAGGTGAGATGTTGATTTTTATTTTTGTTTTTTGTTCATTGTTCCTTTGTGAAAAGATTCATAGCTTTATCCATCCCACAACATCGTGGAGAAACACAAACAATGTCACATTAACCTTATAACAACAAAGTGTTTACTCTTGAAAATACACAAGACATACTTTTATAGTTTATTTATACATTAAAATTTTTGAGTAGTTAATATTTATCATTCTTCACACATTAAAAAGTTAGTAGTAAAATATCATCACAGAACTAAGGTTTTCAAGTATTGATAACAGTAATAATAAACCTATATTCTACTCTTAAAGCACAAATCTGAAGCTATAATTTTAAATTGACAGCACAAGACTTGTCATAAAAATATATGGCTTACTCAGTTTATACCATGTTAATCAATTCCACAAGAAATTCAAACACAAACATAACTCATAAAAAGATCTTCTTAGTTTCTTTAAAATAGACATAGTAAAAATAATTATTAAGAAATGAATAATTAAGTAATGAAATTCAAGTGCAAATTGCTCAGCGGGAATATAGATTATTGTTTAGACATTTCCACCCAGTCATTTCAGAAGTCAGTGTTGGAATTATCCCATTGTGCACTGATAGGCTTCTTCATTTCCCTCTCATGCTCTGCCCACAACAATCTCTCCAATGCTAAACTGTATTTTATGTAACAGATGTATATTTCCATAAGTCATACATACCCCAGATAGCCAAGGTCAAGATCATTGATGCAAGTTATGCAAAAATTTAATGATGTTAACAATAATAGTGCAATCTATTTTTCCTAAAACAATGTAAAAGTTACAATGTCAATTATTTATTGCTTTAATCATGCTGTATAACAAAGCATAATTATTTACAATAACCAACATTTATTACTTCTGTAAGTTCACAAGTTCAAGTTGATCTGGGTCAAGTGTGACTGAGTCATTTGTAGGCAGTTGGCTTGGTAGGTTAGGGTGTAGCTAGTCTAAGCCAGCCTTTGAAAGGCAGTTGGATTCTCTTCCATGCATCTCACAGTCCTCCAGCAAGCCAGTTGGGCA